CACACAAAAACCCACACAAAAACCCACACAAAAACCCCACCTCCCCCCAACCCAACAAAAACCCACACAAAAACCCACACAAAAACCCACACAAAAACCCCACCTCCCCCCAACCCAACAAAAACCCACACAAAAACCCACACAAAAACCCACACAAAAACCCCACCTCCCCCATGACTCACCGTGGACACAAAAAAACCCATGACTCACCGTGGACGCGTTAATCCTGAAGCACCCCTCTCCATTCCCCGCCGTGATGTTATAGGAGACAGATGCGTCGTTTTTGTTGGTGTTCAGGTCAAGCACGAGCGGGCCGGGGGCTGAGGACTCGTTCACCTGTGTCTGATAAAACACGGGACAGAACGCCAGGATGTTGTCTGAACGGACAACGACAGAGAGGACGGCCTCTGAGCACACGTTCGTGCCCGCACTGCAAGCCGCCAGAGGCACGTGATACAAACCTTCAGGCACCATCTGGCTCGTGGTGAGTAGACCCGTCGTTTTGTTAACGGAAAAATAGTTGGTCTGGTTCCGGACGACGTATTCAACCGTCTCATCTGCCTGTGACGTCAGCGAGGTGACCTCCCGAGAGAAAGCCTGGAGCCGTGGGCTGACGTCACAGGTGGCAGACTGGCTGAGGTAGACGGTGGGGAGGGGGAGGGGCCAGAGGGGAGCCTCTACCTCATTGATCACGTGCACGTGTAGGGTCGCCACAGGGGAGGAGGCGGGGGGGAGGGAGTGGTCCGTGACCTTGAGAAGTAGCGTGTACTCCGTGGTGAGTTCGTAATTCAAAGACTTGGCCAAGGTCAGATTCCCTGAGTGGGGGTCAAGGTCAAACACGCCGTCCTCGTTCCCCGACACCACGCTGAAGGTGAGCTGACCTGAGGAGCCAAGGTCAGGGTCAGAGGCCGCCAGCGTGATGAGCAGTGCCCCTAGCGGGAGACTCTCAGACACGTTGATGGAGGCGGTGAGAGGTCGGAGGTCACCCACAAACTCCGGCCGGCTGTTGCTCGACTCTACCTCCACCTGCAGCTGGTCCCAGCTGTGGCGCGGGGGTTGGCCGTGGTCGCTGACCGCTACGGTCAGCTGGTAGGTCTGGGTCAGGCGCCGGTCAAGATGACCGCTGACCTCCAGGAGCCCTGTGGTGTCGTTGAGGCGGAACTTTCCTTGACCGCCATCGGAGAGCCAGAAGGTGAAGCCCTGATTGGTGACGTCGCGGTCTGTGGCGCCTAGTGCTGTCACCACCTGGGGGAGGGTGAGAGGGTGGATGGAGGTGGGAGGGTGAATGGAGGTGAGAGGGTGAACGGGGGTGAGAGGGTAATCGGATGTGAGAGGGTGAGTGGGGTGAGACCTATTATCCCATTTTCTGCTCTGTTTCTTGTTCAACTTCAATGTAACTATCACAGGATACCAACAAAACGTAGTTCTAAATTTTGGCTTGTTGAATTTGTTCTGAATGTAGTCGTTGTTTGATTTATGGGCTTAGAAAGCGGATGTTCCATTTTTTCACTTTTTTGCAACATCCCAATTGTAAGTGTCATAAAATAAAAACTAAAGCATATATCAAATATTCAACACGCCAAATCTCAGAGCTACATATTTACTGTTGGCATGCCAAATTAGAGGTGAATCGGTCAATAAATAAGGGAATAGACAAATTTAAAAAGGTATAAAAAATCCAATATGGCCGCCATTTCCATAGCAACCGATTCGCAATATACTTTTTGAACCATTGATCTAAAATCCCCAATAACACACGATGTCCCACTGCTAGTACGGGCACTCTAGGCCTTGTATTAGCCAAAATAGACCTCAGGTGCCCCACCAGCCCTTAAAGGTCACCCTCTCTTGATCTTCTGCAGCCTGTTTCTAGAGCATCCTTTTTTGCGACCTACATCTTTGGTTTTGGAAAGCGTGCATTTGCTATCTTTGGTTTTTTTCTTCTGTATCTTGACACTGGGCATTTCTCCTTGTTCCTTTATTTCCATTTTTAAAGCGCTGTATCTTTCCCTAGAGGGTGCGGTGGCGGAGTGGTTAGTGCGCTCGTCTCCGAAGTGGAAAGTCCGGGTTCGAGCCTCGGTTCGGAAACAGATTTTTTTCTCCCCCTCCTGCCCACCCAGCAGTAATGGGTACCTGACTTCGAGAAAGGAAAGTAAAGGCGGCGTGGAAAGGAACTGGCCACCCTACCACAACATGCCGAAGGCCCAGGAAGTTGTCTCACTAACAAGACAATACCCAATGTCCGGATCAGATGCAGGAATAACTGTATCTTGACAAAGGATATTAATCCATGTTCCTTTCTTTCCATTTTTAAAGCACTCTACTTTTCTCCGTAACATCACAAGACGAGACAGGCAGAGAAATGAAGAAGCAAGAGCAGCTATCGGCACTGAGTGCTGCCTGCGTTACATAGAAAGACAGAGGATCAAATGGTTTGGTCACCTGTTACATAATATGTCACCTGGCCAGCCAGCCTCGAGAGCCTACAACACCAAGCACTCAGGCTATGAAGGAAGAGGAAGGCCACGCAAAAGGTGGATCGAGGGTGTCAAGGAAACCCTAAGAAAACATAACAACACAACTGA